GGAAATCAGTGGGGTACTCTGCCATAAATAAGCTATGCACCGAAGTAGAATTGATTTCCTTTCTGTGTTTAGTTCAGAGCACATAGATGAACCCATGTGTGCGACCACTGGTGTTAACTGTTCCTGTCTTCATGGAGACTGATAATTCCATTTTCTGAGGCAGGTGGCCTCCCTGCGTCATGCGGATGGTATTTTCGGGAGCAACTATCATAATTATTTAGTGGACAGTCTTTTATCAGAGCAGTGTTGTAGTTCTGTTATAGGATTTGTGTTTCTGGGGTTATACAGTGATCAGCCATAACATTATGACCACCTGCCTAATACGGTGTACACAGGAGTCAGTGCGGCAGTTGGTTGGCGTTCGTGTCACTCTGCAGCTCACAGTGCATCTTCTGTGAATCTGTTTCCATCTCTAGTTCTACTTTCAGGACGAGCACAGATGTGTCAACCATTCAGTGAGAAACTTACATAAAAAGAGTGAAAACTGTGGCCATGACGACAAGTTAGAAACATTTTTTTAGAGACATTCACCATCCTCCCCACTCTCGGTGTGATATCACCACTGTAGCTGCTGAATCTCTTCAGAGAGACCAATGTTTCTCTGTTTGAACCATTTAAAAAAGATTCAAACTAAATGGAAACTTTTGAAAAGGATGAATGAAATTTTAAAGTTTATTCTACAGTAGATCCACCTCATCATCAGTGACCTTGTCGCTGGTTCACTCTTTGTCCTTCCTTAGACCATGTTCTGTAGGTACTGACCACTGCAGACCGTGAACACCCACCAAGACCTGCAGTGTGGGAGATGCTCTAATCCAGCCGTCAGCCATCACAGATTGGTCGTTGTCAGAGTCACTCAGATTCTTAAGCTGACGTTACACCCCACACACTGACAGGTGCCAATGTAGCCAGATAATCAGTGTTGTTCACTTCACCTGTCAATAGTCAGAATGTTATGGCTGATCAGCGTGTGTTAAATTCAAACATTAGTTCAGCTCCTGAGTAATATTTAACAAACATAGACTGATTTATCACAAAAACAGACAGTGATGATTTTACATTCTTTTTATTGTTACAACAAGGACAGACTGTGGTTCTCGGCATCTGTTATAGCTTCAGGTCAAGGCATATTGCAGTACAAAGACAAACTGAGCAAGGCTGTAATGCTCAGAATGCTTTTATTGAAGCTATACCGGGAAGAATTCAGTTTTACAAAATTAGTCATTTTATTTCCTCACAAACAGAACAATTTAAAAGCGATCTTGGATCATCATAGCACCTGTTATCCTTGCACACGCTATTATTAGAATAACTCAAATGAGATTTCAGGTGGAAAGCAACATTAAAATGTCATGTCTCGGAGTTTTTGAGGGTCAGGCAATTATGTCATTTATTTTTCAAGTGCTCTTGAGTATTTTAGAACATTAGCTGAAGCAAACAGACCCTGGTTTGCATCTTATTTTGCAGACTTCTCAGAAAGTCCACATTTTAGATGGTATTGTTTTCAAATTTTAATGTAAAACACTTTGCCCTGCTTTAAATTAGCACATTTCTAAAGATAGAATGACATACTGTAGCTAAAAGGCTTCATGCAGTGAGCGGTGTGCTCTGTCACAGCTGCTGCTTTGAACTTTTCGACATTCTGCTTTTTAAAATTTTCACCCCATCCATGTTGTCCATCACCAGATACTTGTCATACACACACTGTATGACAAATGCACATATACAGTGCGGTTGAACCGGCGGGCATATTGTTTTAGATTAGTCCCGCTGTTCGGGTTGCTGTGCTACAGTGGTGGTGTTTGCCCACAGCTAGCCATGGATCAGTGAAGCGTGGCCGACAAGACACAACAGCTTCCTAAGAAAATTACAGCATGTTTCTTATGCAATGTGAACTCAATAAATCTGTTGTGTTTTTGTATATTCATAGGGGCAATGCCAGTGAAATGGACTCAGCCATATTACAGCAGAAGACAGGATGAAGATGTGACAGCATCAGGCTGAACCAGCAGAGCAACAAAAGGTAGGAAAAGGAGAGAACACAGCTGAACTGTTGCTTGGTTCTCATAACAGAACCAGCTCTTTCTCTTCATCAGCTTTGTCTGTGCGACAGGCTCGGAGTCTGTGCTGTGTGTTTCTGGGGCTCTTACTGGTTACACTTTGCATGGTTTTTAGCTGGTTTCCCATTTTTCAATTGTCTTGTTTTGTCAGTGTCCCCATCGTTCAGAACCATAGTGTACAGTTGTTATCGATTTCAGTAGTTTCGGTTGATAGGTAGGTTGTTTTATGACACACTGTAGAAAGTCTTTATACCTTTTGTCTCTGTAAACTTTCAAAATGAAATTGTGCCTTCAAATGTATAATTGTATGTATTTGTTCAAGCTCAGTGGAGTCAAGTTAATGCCTACTGGTAGTTGGATTTCACCTTTTGCTATGGGAACTCATGACCTTGTTGCTGTCCTGTTTCGCTGTCAAGACCCAGGTTTGGTAAATTATGTGCAGATAATGCAGCTGTTGTTGTAATGTGTCTTTATATGGAGTTATCGTGGTTATTGATATGAGTTCATCTGCAACCAGAAGTCAATTATTATGAGTGTCTAAGAGACTGAGCCCAGGGGTATCTGTAGGATGTGAAGAGTGATGACATGGTTTATTGTTTAATAATTTGGAGCGAAATGAATCTGACTTTTCCTGATAAGAGAATGTTGAAAATGATGTTTTGCAGTCAGGCGTTAAGGATGCTGCGAAACACTCCTCAGCAGTTGGGACAAATTTATTAGCAGAGTCAGTGATTAGAGGGGTTCTGTCACATTGATTTTGAAACGGTTTTTAAATTGTTCATCACACATCTTGACAGTTTTATAAGAGCTAAATAGGGATTTTTACATTAAATACATTCTGAATTGTTTTACTGAATTTGCGCCCCATGTATTTTGCCATATATTTCAGAGCCCAAGCTTCTTCCTCTAAGAAAATGTCTTATTCAGACAAAAAAAGTAAAATTGTTTAGTTCCACACTGAAGCCTGTGCAAACACTCAGCCACTGTGTGTCTTTGAATTTGTTTGCTGTGTGTGTTTTCTTGCAGTTCAGCCATCTGAGCAGTTGGCTTAACTTCATTCAAACCTGATTTACATACAAGCTTAGCTTTTAATCAGATGGAAATCAGAAATGGATTTCTCTCTCATGTTTTTGAGACGACATCCCATCTAATCAGAGAATTCAAAAACAAAAAGTCTTGCATCTGACAACCTTGCACAAATAACCACATTTTACTGTAGGATGAATTGTGTAGAACAACACTGGCCGCAGGCAAATCTAACTAGTGTTGCAGTACATCACACAGATGAAGACATCAGTGCCAGGGATACATACTGATCTCTAGGATCCATTCTCACCGGAGCCGTTCACACTCTGACAGAGTCCACAAAGATGGTTACTTGAACTGAAAACATGCAGATTAGTTTGACTTTGTTTGCAAATGCTTTCCTAAAAGTAGACTCCGCTATGCTAAAGTAAAGTTAATCTACTGTAACATCTCCAGTTCAGCGAGTTGTGACTAATGATCAGGGCTAGCGAGCAAGACGTAAATGAATTTTCAAAGAAAACTTTTGCCAGTGTAATTATAGAATTAAACATAATGAGGTGTAGTGTAGTGTAAAATTTGCAGAGCTTGAGGAAATTTAAAGACTTTGTGTGTATTTTCAGAGACACAGTTGAAAGTCTTAAAACAAAAATACTATGTTTTGTTGGAGAAGAAGTAACAAAGAACCTGAAAGACTTCCTATATGTAGTGTGAAGCCATGTTCTTTTTCTTCTCAAGGCAATAGTTATTGCTCTGTGACTGCCTTGAGGTTGTTGAAAGTGCTAATAGACATTGCCCTGGATTGCAGGCGCTTTGCTTGATGTGACTGCAGCAGGATATGACATTTTCACAGCACTTGTCAGTAACTGTTACTATAACGGAGCAGGATCTACAGGTACACACTGCCACCAAGTGTAGTGAAGTGGAAAAAGTCCTCATAGTAATTCTGCACTGCTCAGAAAGCTTTCTCTGCCTTTTGTTCATGGGTGAAAGTTGCAAAAGTAGGCGGTAAAATATTTAAATTAATGATGAATTAATGAATGCTATTTAGCTGCTTCAGTGACATTTTGTTCCTGCTGCAGTTATTAACATATATAAAACATTATGTAAATATGGCATTTATGTTTGTTTCATGTGTTAATTTGAGGAACATTACAGTCTCGTCTCGTTTTCTCTTTCCGGGGGACTAAAAGCTTGAGTGATATATCGTATGCTTCATGTACGTCACGATTTATTCGCTAGGTCTGTTTGCATTGCTCTTTGTCAGATTATGTTTTTATTGATACAAGGACTTTTCCAGCCAACTTAGCATAAAAGCCTTTTTGCGGTATTTCAACTCCCCCCACCGCCCACCCTGATGTTTCCCCTCATGGAGCCATTTTTTATGTTATTATGTTCTTGTTTGACCTGTGCCTTTCCTTCTAAAACAGTTCAAAATGGCTGCTATAAAAGGGCCTATTAACTCATTGCTGCTCTCTCTTGTAAGTAACTGAGCTGAAAGTTTGCACCAAATTTATTATAATTTAAATTTTATTATTATTGTTATTTATTTTGGCAGATGGCTGTGTGATAAGTCTTGCAGCACATCACACCACAATAATCTGGCAGATGCTTCTGTCCACGGTTTTGTTCTCAGACACTTTTAAACTAGACAGCAGGAGCCAGGCCAAACCCCTACTCAATCATTTGTCCCAAAGTCACCAAAGGTATTGTTAATTTCTTTTTTTATTGTCATCAGCATTGTCAAAAATCATACCAGAAAACAAAGATAGTAAAACAACAAACATATCTATATATTAAATACATTCTAAATATGGCCAGAGACGGACTATAGAGCTGACACAGGATGACCAAGCCTTTTAAATGTTTCTAAAATGTTTCTCTATTAATTCCACACATCAGAAAACCACTGGTTTAGACATTAAGCTGTTGCATATTTTATTTCTGCCTATAAAATAACAGAAAAACAATCTATAGGACAAATTTTAAACAGGATCAGGTCATCCTCTGTAGTGCACACCAACACCTGTTCCTTAAAATCTAGGCAGCTTGTGCCCTCGGCGATTTGATGGGTGTCAGTGAGTCATGTGAAAGACTGAGGCCCCTGCTCCTAGGGGCTACTGATCACATTTTGTAAAAGCAGTGGAAGGTGGGATAGTTAAAGGAACACTCCAGCATCTTGTGAAATACATTTTTCTGTCTTATCTGGAGCTAGATAAGGGGATTTTTATCATTTTCAGTGAGACAGTCTTGGCCTAACTTACTATACGTCACGAGAACAGGGTATAAAAGGATATAGAGTGCAGTGTGGTTTAAGGCTCCTAGGCAGAACATCGGACAAGCACTTTCTGAGTTCACACCTGGTACTGTACATTAAAAAGGATACATAGTCCATCAAATGCTTTAAACGTGCCCTTTGTTTAGTTTCTTACTTAACCTTCTACTGATATTCTAAGCAAAGAATGAATTAATTTCTGTCTTTCTATATGTACAACAGCAACAAATGTGTTTGCAGTGATGCTGACTGAAGTCTTCTTAGACTGTACATAGCTTAGCATCGCAGTCGTTCTTTGTTTTTGGAGAAAACGGTGCATTATTGTACCTTTTGCTTACAGCGACCATGACTGTGTTGTTCTTGTAGAACATGTTAGTGTGATGAAATCATTTAAAAGCTGTAAAGATCAAATGTGGTGGGTTTTTGACAGAAGATACAGAAGTAAGATTTAAATGAACACAGTCAAATAATGCTAAACTAAATCAAATTCAGTGACTTTTGTGTCTGCAAACGAGTCTCTCTCTCTCATTTTCAAATAAATCTAGGATATGCAGCCACACTTACTGTATGTCACTGTCTATGTTTGTTGCTCACTGATTTGCCTTTAATGTGTGACTGTTGTTGAGGGCTTTGTTAGATTGAAGAAAAATCGGCAAAGATTTTCTAAACGTTTGGACTTAGAATTTCCAAGAAGCACTACCGATTCTTTTTGTTGCCATTCATGGTCATACTTTCTGAATAGGCTAAACAGAACATGTGTCAAAGGCATAAACAAACGGAGGTGAGTAGTGACACTCTTTGTTAAATTTCTTTCTGTTCACTGTCTGAGCAGCTTGACTACCCTCTAATTTATTTGGTTATCACTGTACCTGTATTGAACAAAGTGAAATAACTGGATCAGCCACTATCTTATTCCATATTTGTGGAAAAAAAAAAAATTCACACAGTTTCTTGATGTTGGCATTGTCGTGTAAAAGACCACACATTGACAAGAAAAACCACACATATCTCCCTAAAGTGATCATTTCTTTCCAATTAAAGAAATAGAGAACATAGGACTGGACACCTGATACCAGTGTAAAAACAGGCAGGAAAGTATTAGCCAGTCACTCTGCTTCATATGTGCTGGTAGAAGCGAGAATCTAGCCAGAAGGGATCAGTATTCCCAGAGAGAAGATGCATTGACAGATGTGCCGTCACACATAAGTGTGCCTCCTTGGTCACCACGAAGGTACTTGCCATTGGAGCCCTTGATGGCGACGTGTCCATGTTCCAGGAACTCAAGGAAAAAGTCCTCTGGCTTTTCTCCATCTGAACACACTAGGCCACTGCTAGAGACATACCAGAACGTCTCATTCACACCTGCAGAAGGATGTCAGTGAATTATATTGCAGCCATTGGTTGAAATGAACAACATTGCTTTAGTAGATGTTATGTATTTACTGTCTGGATACAGATATATTTATTTGCTATGCAGAAATTTAATATGTTGTGGCTCATGAAAGTACAGACTTTTTACGTTATAGGCGCCGTCGTTGAAGATCAGTGAAAAAATGTCATAGACGGATCGATTTGCATCCAGAGTGTTGGAGTTCTTGTGGTGACACACGAAGCCGTTCTCTCCACGTAGAATCAGAATAGGGCGATTTATGAGTTTCATGACGAATAATTCATCATCCCCTGCAAAGAAGGATGAATGCCGTTTATCCATTCTGCATGATTTCAACAAAGCTGTACCTGTGGTGGAAATTACAGCTACAGCACTGACTCTCAGGTGGTTTGACTGAAAGTGCTTACCCACTGTATCGCTGACCGCTGAGAGCTGCCCGTTCTTCTTTGTACACACATACTTTCCATTGCTTGCTTTGAGTGCCACCCTCTGTTCTCGCCATTCAATGTCAAACATTGTGTTTTCCTCTCTGGTAAAACAAAAGACATGGATGTCCAGATTGAGAGATTCAGGTTAGAGGTTTGTGAAAAGCTGTGAGAGCTACTTACACGTCTGTGGCAGTGGACTGGATCTCTCCGTGAGTCACTAGAGTCCAGTAGGATCCGCCATTGGTCCTGAACGTGGACTTTTTGCTTTCCTTATCAATCTCCATCTGGAAGGTCTCCATGTCTGTTTCCACATCCTGATTTGCTGAAATACTCACCCCTGGTAAAAACAGAAGAAAAGAAAGTTTCACCTCCACAGATTTGTGACACTACATCATACTTATTACATTATGCTTTACTGTAACCAACTAGTTGTAATTGTAACTAACTAAAAATCTCTGTTGCTCCATCCTAGAAAAAGAGAAGTTTGGTCAGTTTGAACTGGAGAAGTGAATTATGCTGCAGGATTGGTTTGAGATTGGGATGTTTTGCCCTTTTCCCCCACCACGTTTTGGAATTTATTTCACCTAACAGGTTTATAGAGTTTGTGTTACTCAAAAAAGATGTTTTGGGCAGAGGGTCACTAAACTATTAACCTGCTTTGTAGCTATCTTCGAGCCGCCAGTGTGCACATGGCTCACTTTGTGAAACTTTGCTCTTAAGCAAGTTTCATGTGATCAACTCATGATCTGCTTTGCATACAAAAAACATTTGTGCAGGTAAAGCTAAACTTTATACAGAATAAAATCCAACATTTGCTTAAAATCATGCCCATCTTTCCAGTTTGTCAGTGAATGCCCTGTTCTCTAAACCAGGGTACCTCATTTACACTAGTGTTATATTCTTAATCCACATGTATTAACTCCGCCTGCTGCGGTGAGTCAAGTGGTGGAGAAAGCGTCGACACACACAACTGAACTGTGTCTGCTGTAGTTCAACATAAATGCTACAGAAAAATCCTTCAACCTTTCTCCTAAGCCTGTTACAGCTCTAATCCTTCAGAGTCACCTCTCCACCCTCCCTGTTTATTTGCTTGCTGTAATTCCGTGCCTGGTGAAATGCAAATCTGCACCTCAGGGCCCACTAAGCAGCTTTCAGTGCCTTGTTCCTTTAAAATGCGGAACTGCTACAAGGACAAACACCACAGTTTAAAAAATGTAATTCTTTACCTTGCATTATAGAGATGGAGTGTCTGCAATAGTGACATTTTTAACTCAGATTTTTATCCATCCTTAAAGATAATGATGATTGCAGTCTAGTTTGCAAACCTCATACCCCAAATGTGCCATAGTATTGCATGTGCAATTGTATAGCTACAGTTGTAGAGATGTCCTGCAGTAAGGCTTTTAGGAGGTCTTAGTTTAAAGCTTGCAAAGACTGCAACAGAGCATAGTTTGCTCTCCTGTCCTCCCACACTTGAATAATTACGAAGCAGATCAAATCATAAAAGCAGATGAGAGAACTTGTAACTGATCTCTCTGGAAAGGACTGCCTGTACTGTAGCTCCTATTTGCTGCCGCTGCATTGCCATGCTGGCTAGCTGCAGCTTTACATAATTTGAAGAATTTAACTCATTAGATGGCAATGAAGAGTGAGTAGCCGCGAGGCCTAAAGTCCATTGATGGTAACTGACACCTAATGTGGCACAGGCCTGCCCAGGAGTAATTTGCACACCATTTAATCTTCAATGGACACAGTGGAAATGACAAAGCCCATTACTGCAATTACCTTCGCAGTATAGCTGTCAGCCATCCTGGATCCTACATCTAGACAAGAATGGTAGGATGTTCTCCTATTAATTGCTAAATTTTACTGTAATGTAGCTGTAAAGATTCAATCAAATAAATCCAGGCCAGTTAATCTGAATTCACTTTATGGCCACACCCAACGGTTGTACCACTCCACATACAATGTACTGTATTTTTAAGGTATACCATATACTCTGGTGTGCTACTGTGTGTTGCTCAGCCATAATAAGGCTAGACTCCTTAGCTAACCTCAATACCTACAGTGCATAACTGCAAAACCTCTGAAACAATCTGTGCAGAACTCTTGTGGAGATTAAACTGCAGGAGACAGAATATAGAGCTGTGAGCTACATTGTTTTCATGCTCATTTGTTAGTATGAAGTCGCCTTTACCTCGCCTCATTTTGAATACATTCAAGCTTCTTTAAATGTATTTGTGAACAGTCAAATCCCACTTTTAACTTGTATATGACTTTTAACAGTGAACATTATTTTTAGTAGTAGTAGATTGAAAGCACTCCAATTCATTTTCTGTATGAAACTAATCAATTTGATAACGATCAAGTTCAATTTTTCCTTTTTTTTTTTTTTTTTTTTTTTGGTCAACGCTGCATTATGTGCCGATTACCTTGCTTGACTGAGACCAATCTTTTATTGACGGCTTGAAAAACTACTTGGGGGTGACTCTCTTCCAAATCAAACAGCTCATCTTTTCCAGGCTTGGAGCATCGACCAGAGCGCAGTGTTCCTGTGGGACCCACGTGGGTCAGATATTTCCCTTCACAGTCCTTAAAGGTCAGCTTGCCAGATTTCAGCTCCAGTGTGAAGCAAGTAGAAGGGGTGTTCTCCTTCACCAGCTTGCCATCATTGTTGAGGAAACGGCTGTCACAGGTCTTCAGGCTGTACTTGCCGTCTAGGTATACCAAGGTGATCAGGGAGTCCACTCCCCAGGGAATGTTGCTGTCCACTGAGATCTCTCCGTCTGAAGCAGACAGATGGGCATAGCGCTTACGTGCCACACTGAGTAAGTTGGCCTGTGGGTGTAAAGCCAAATGGATGGCCCACATCTCTTGTTCCCCGATGACTTGGGCAAAGCAGGACAGGTAGTCGGCTGAGCCTCCAAAATAACGTTGGTAAGGCTCTGATTGCAGTGCCCAGCGACCATCAGACTGGGCTACAATAATGAAACGGCAGTCGGGGTCAGGCTTCTCGGCACCACATGTGATCTTCCCATCTTTGTCAGATGCCAGATAGCGTCCGAGGTGGCTGCGAAGAAACACTACTTGGCCGTCCTGCTCGTTCTGTTCTAAGGTCCAGATCTGTTTCTTCTTCATGCTGGTGCCTGAAGCGTTAACCTTGAAGCCAAAGGCCTCAGCCGTCAGGTAGCGGTTCTCATAGTTGATGAGGCCAAACTGCAGCTTCAGAGCCTGGCTAATTCCGTTTGTGGACATGCTTGAACAGGCCACACGTTAAGACTATGAGTAAAGAGGTTTAGAACAGACAGGGAAAGCAGACATGAGACAGAAAAGCAAAAATAAAATGCTTGATTTCTTCCCTCTTCTGTCTCTCAAGCTGTAAATTAGCTCTCTTTATCTCCTTTGATGGATTGTTTAGAGTTCCTTCCTTCCCCTGTCACTTTCTTTCTTTCCTCATAGGGCTTGTACAGGCACTGGCTCTCTGTTCCTTAATGAGTTAGGATTAAAATCAGCAGCACACAGCACCTCAGTCCACGATGCCACTGACGTCACATACCAGTACACCAACCACAAACCTCTGCTCCTCCCTCTCCTTCTCTGCTAAACACTCAGTGCAGCTTCATTCTGCATCTCTCTTCTCTATCTTCCCCTTATTTTCATCTTTTCCTTATTTCCTCCACCCTTGTCTTCCTCCACTGTAACTCACACTGACACACTCATTTGTCAACCTGACTCCCTGTTGGATCAGACTTTCATATTTATGTTCATATACCAGTAGCCACACCGTGCAGCTCTAGGATTATCCTAGCTTTGATCTGCTGGTGAGCTACAGCCTGATTGGAAAATGTCCAGAGAGTAAAGGTGCTTTTGGTTCCTCTGCACTGGTTCTTCTTCTCCTTTGAGTCCCCTTTCAAACATAGTTTCCCTAAGTTAGATTTTTTTTCATATAAATAGTCATTTTGCTTGTTAAAGGCTTTGAATTTCCACAAAGAACCTCTTTGACATTACACTGGACAAGGGACAATGCACACAGCTGGTTAACTCCCAAATGGTACAAAGGTTTCTTTATTAAAGTTGCTACCCAGTTTGCCCCATGCAGGGCCAGAGGCACTACATGACAACATTTCATTTGCCTCACGCCTTCTGAGATATTTACATTTAAGTCTTTGAGCTTAGCTAAGACGAATTTGAATAGCACACATTTGAATGTATGAGCCCATTTGCCTTTTTCCACTTAAACCTTGGTTGATTCTCAACATCATTCTTTCTGATTCTTCCACACCGTCCTTCTGTTATTCCATCAGTCAGTTGATAATACACAGCTCTCTTCCCCATGACCTTTGCTACAGTGCACATCAAGATCAACCTTTATAAGAGCATTACCACCCTCCTTCACCCAGGTTCCTGGGGATGCTGTGTTTAATGCTAAGGATAAGCGTCTATCGTAAACACCAAATCCACAAAAGTACGAGATGCAACCTTTAGTATAAAGCAGAATCATTAGGGTATTACTTCAACTTAATATTATTTTATTGCCAGTGCTTTCATCTGTTAACTTTGTAACTTTGACAGGTAAAAGCGATTAGCATATTGATCCCTGACTACCGTGTCCTTCAGTTTCTGACTTCCTAACGGGCAATCTGACATTTACACCCACTTCTTGTCGTGACTGGCCAGCTGTACACATGTGAGAAAGAAGCCAGGATTTTAATGTGTTAATCTTTTTTCAGTTCTTACAAAACAGTTTCTGTTACTTTTCATGTGAACAGTGGAGTGTAATGCTATGAATGGCTTCCAGGAGAGAAATCATTTTGACAATTGGCTTTTCACTCCAGCGTTGAGTGTGGGTGTTTGGAACATCTTCTGGAACTACTCCTCTTTGTGCAAAACCTGACCTAATAGCGTCACTATGTTTGTCAGACCCCTCCCTGTGGTGGCTAACTCGGGGACCCAGAAGGGAAGGGTAAAAAATGAGTTATGCTGACCTAGTTCAGATGAAAAAGTTTGTCCTCCAACCAGCCCCAGATTGGAAAGGTGTGGAGGGAGGGGGTTTCAGATGTTGTTCAACCTTCGATAACTGCTTTGGAGCATTGTGATGCCTGGGGTGAGAAGACTCGAGAACACTAATTGCTGGGTGTTGCCAATGTGACGTAGAAGTTGACGTTAACTGGATAGATGAATTGAAATCACAGGCGTACAGTATATGGCCATAACTGCATACACTTGATTACAAACTTGAAAAACCTTACTTCACCCTTTCACATTAACCCCAGCCCATCACCCGGAAATGCAGAATACACCACTTTCCATGCGTCTTCACCTTGTGACCACTGGGTGGCAGCATCGCCTTGAACCAGCACCCACTAGTGGTTTACTATTACAGGCAGATGGTGTGTGTCATTGATAGAGGTGTAGATGAACTTACTACAGTGACATCTTGGTGTGTACCTGTACTGCAGTTTCTGAAAAGAAAAAAAAAAAACATTGCAGGTTAATTATGAGGATCTTAAATCCACCCATTTATTCATCTACAGTGCCTGTAAATCTAATGTTGCTAATTTCCATAGCAAGATAGTGAGTACTGAGGTATTTATAACTGTGTCAAACTGCTTTGTGCAACTTTTAAGTGTATGTCGTAAGTCACTTACTATTAAATGATTTATACAGTCTGTGAAAGCTGAGGTATAATGTATGTTCAGTTTCTGCAGGAACTGTGTCAAGTCTTGCAAAACCACTCCAGTCATATCACCTTGAGACTCGGAGAATGCAAACTGTTTCAACAGAAATCACTTGGAATTCGAAAGATGTGATTGTTTGCCAGACAAGGGGAGTCTAACAAATGATGCTGTTGAGTTGCATGAGAATGGAATTTTGTGAATTCTGAGAAATAGATATTTCAACACTTGTTGTGCTGACTTTGACTTTTTTTTTTTTTACCTGCCCCCTACTTTTATGGAACCACACGATTTGACAGAATAATCCCTTATTTGCTAATCTTTTGGACTATAAATGGCATTAGCCAGCAAATGTTTAGAAATTTTGTGCAAGTGTAACACCAGAGGAGACCTGAAAACAGATAATTTGCTTTTGAAATCAGAAATTAATTAGAACATTAGTACATCTTGTAACTCTCTGTATGCATAATATTTGATTTTGGATTCTAAATCTAACACACACTTGCCAATTTTTGTATAGTTTTCAAGACACTTTTGATGCTGAATATAGCTTGAATATTTTTGTGAAGCTGTGAATGAAATGCATATGCGTGTCCGTGCTTCTATGGTTGGTGCAGCTGACTGGCCAGTAGGTGGCAGTCTTGACTATAAAATGCAGCTTCTTTGTTTTCTCTCACCAATTTGAATTCCTGTGTTTACTGGGTTATGCTTTGAGATAAGAAATACTGAATGAGAAGAATGTAATTCAGTTTGTCAAGCTTCCTAATAGAAAAGAGTTGCTTAGCTGGTTGAACACAGAGTAAAAGCTGCATTGATTCATGGTGCAGTGCAACAGAATGGTTTCTGTGAGCGCATAGTCCATGTACATATGTGTCAGTGTGAGATCAGATCATCAGTTTTGTTAGTTTATTGATAGTTGGTAGACTATCAGAACAACTCAGATAAATTAATAATATTGTTACTTTTGGCAAATAATCACCTGAATGTCATTTAGAGATAAGAGTGTTATGTGGTGGTGAGATGTGGTGGTGTAAAACACTTCAGAGTTTAGTTTTTCCATTTCTCTCCACTGTCTGAGTCCCAGATGGAATCATTCACAAGTGTGATGTGAACCATTAGAAAAATACAAAAGGATCTTTATCTTGCTGGTGGCCTAATTTGTGTCTTCTTTCATCAGCTGTCCCCTCTTACCTGTCCTTACAAACACAAAATAGAAAAAATCCAAGAAACTGAGGATGCGCTGTCTGTGATGATGGGGCCATCAGGTGACCACACTACCTTGCAAGTCTGGGTTACCTGGTGCTGCATGAGTCTTATGAGCAATAACTGTGCCATCTAAACTGTAGCGGTCTGGTGGCCAAATTGCATATTGAGACTTAAATGTTTCTAATATCTCTTCCTCTCTGTTTTTCTTGGTGGTTGTCCTCTCTTTGTATTTTTGCACAGTTTCTCACTTCTTCCGTTTATGTGCCATATCTGCTGCTGGGGTTCCTGGTTAAAAGGACATTGGATAGTTTAATAAAACCTTTGCTGTTAGCTCAAAAAGTAAACGATTGAAAGAAGATAAAATTTGCTGATAAGGGTTGGCCACTTGCAAACGCACACAGGCATGCATTTGCACACACGTACACATTGCATATACATGCACTGACACACAGATCAAATGGTGAGCTGAGGTCTCCCCTTGGGGCAGGAACATGGATTAATGTGCCCTGTACTATTATTTCATTTATAACTGTCCTGGACCTTTTCAGATAAGACCTTTTTTTTCAGGTTGCCATCCATTAGCACCTTTAGAGTGAATCTATTAGCCTGCCAAGCACTCAGAGATCCATTTAAAGGGCCAGCATACTTCCTTTTTAGCTGGCCCTGCAAAACACTTTCAGAAAGAAGTCAAGGTTGTTTAGTGGCAAGACTAAGATACAAACGATTTGAATAAACTGATAAATAAAATGACACTTTGGTTACCTCTGAATTTACAGTACTACTACTGATGTGGAGATAGTACATCTCTTTAAAATGAAATGCCATCGGAAAGGTGCATTCCTCAGTTCACAAGGACAGTTCCTGACAAATTCATTACTATTACATTTACTTCAACATTTTTCCAGTTATTGTACATCTTTGCAGGTTTTCCTGTAAGGTTTTGCCCTTGAATTCACAAAGAGTTTATAAAATCATAACTGTATTACTAGCCCTGCTCATGTACTATATACAGCACAAAGGTACAAAAATGTCCTTTCCTTTCTCTCTCTTGCTCCCATGGGACTCTCCTGCTGCCCCTTCTAAAATCAGCAGAGAAAAACGGTCCATGAGACATGCAGTAAAAGTATAATATAAAATGGCTGCCTTGGCTGGGATTCTCCTTCCTCAGCAGCTTGCTGCTTACTGACCCTATTAATCCAGGTGTTCATTCATCTACAGGACGATCCTCCCACAGGCTGTTAACTGCTCACCCCACTGTCTTTGCCCATCCCCAGCCCAGCCTAGCCTAGCCCGGCCTTCTCACTCCTGCTTTACCCAGTGTAATCGGGGCTGCCAATGAGCTAAGTATGGGCGGCCATATAAACGAGCCTTGGTAAATGTCAAGCCTTTTAATACTCGGTTGTAATGCCACATTTGTTTTGTAGGCTGTCATTTGTTTTTAGAGTGAGTCAAACTTGTTAAACCCCCTTCCCCCTCCCAAAGAGTGAAGACAGAGAGCCGCTCATGCAGAGAGAGAAGGTGGTATAACTTAATTGGAGGTTACATCGCTGTCAGCGCAATACATCATTTACTTGACTCGCAAGGAA